CAATCGTCTTAAAACTGCTTATTCATCTTTTATGTTTTGATTTTCTCAGGATATTATGGATGGTCCCAATTTACAGTTTGGACAGTGTGAGTTATTTATCAGATCCAGTATATCAAAATAAAGTTGAGTGAATGCCTTTACGTTCATAAATGAAATATCCTATCCTGCCCGTTGTTGTTTGCTCTTAAATCCTGCAGTGGATTGCTTTAAAATACCCCGGCATTGCAATTTACGTGGACACATGCAGAGAATGCTATGAGGCCTACGTCATCTACAACTTCATGACCTTCTTGCTGAACTACCTGGAAAATCAGTACCCGAGCCTGGTGTTGATGCTGGAGGTCCAGGAGCAGCAGAAACACCTGCCCCCTCTGTGCTGCTGTCCGGCCTGGCCAATGGGAGAGTAAGTGTCCTTTAGAATTACATAAGTCTAACAATAATGAATTGTATACATGAAAATCAAGTGGGACCTTTTAGATCCAAATTGATGCTTGAGTTGTTCACCTTAATTTGTTGCGCTGACACATCAGTCAACTATCCAAATGCCGTACCGTGCCGTACTCGAGCACATGCACGCTTTCGTTTTATGACGCGTGGAGAGAGAGAGAGAGAGAGAGAGAGGAGAGAGAGAGAGAGAGAGAGAAGAGAGAGAGAGAGAGAGAGAGAGAGAGAGAGAGAGAGAGAGAGAGAGAGAGAGAGAGAGAGAGAGAGAGAGAGAGAGAGAGAGAGAGAGAGAGAGAGAGAGAGAGAGAGAGAGAGAGAGAGAGAGAGAGAGAGGACGCGCAGTCGAGTCGAGTCTGCTTCTGCACATCAGAGAACAACACAGAGAGCATGGCCGCTACTTTACTGACATTGCAGCTTATTTTAATCAGACACAGCCATAAATATATTTTAAAAATAAAATAGAAGCGCTGCCGAGTCAGCTACTTTGTGTCTTATATTGAGTCATTTTAGTCAGATATAGCCATGAAACTCTGGATTTCTCCATAATGAAGGCTGTCAGCGCTGTGTACCTGCGTGCTTGTGCTCGTGCATGAAGTGTACCGTGCCAAAGCCAAGGAAGTGTAACGTGCCTGAGTATTGCACGGAGCGGTCACACTGGCCAAACGAACTGGACTTTAGGGGTTGAAGCGTGCTTGGGCACGGTACGGATGGCCAGTGTGACGGCGCCCTTAGTGTGAGCCAAGAATTTGGTTTAAAATAAATCATTGTTCAAATTTAATGGCCATACTCTCATTGTCTTGCTGCCTGTTTGAATTGCCCACACGAAGAGATCCACCTGACAAAATATATATATAATATTATTATATATAATATTATAGTTTTGTTATTGTACAAGTAAAGACCTACAACATGGACCCCTGTGACAATCTTTGGATTTCAATTCAGTGCTGATAGTTCTGCGAAAAATAGAAACAATGGGAATGAAGGAAAAAAGGAAGTTTGTTGCTTGAACTTCGATTTAGTTTGTCTCATGGTTTAATTTAATTTTATAGTGTTTTGAGAAGTTTTTCCTCCCTGCAGGCAAACAAATCATTTACATGAGCATGAGTCATGAGCTTTGAATCAGCCTCAGTCAGGCAAAACTGTAACTGGTTAACATGTCCATGTGCAATTAATTTAGAATAAAGCTTGTTTTTTTTTTAACTTGGGGATCAGCTTGTCTTTCCTGAAAGATGAGGAAGAAACAAATCATATAAGACTTAAATTAAGTAAGCCCTGTCGGGAGGCCTGTTATATTTATAGTAGTGCCCATCCTAATGTTTAACCCTTTTTTTATTTTATATAATTTATTAATCCCTGAGGGAAACTCTGGTTTCCACTCTGTGATGAGAGACATGATTCTCACACACATAGGCCCGAAATACACACATGCACAAACAGGACCTGTGGAATGCATTAATGTTAAGATGTCAGAGTGGGGCTGCTACACACAACATCCATATTGGTCATATTGGGCACCACAAACCCTCTGGTTCACAACCCAAGTCCATACAGACTGAGCTGCTGTCACTCCTTGACAGTGTGCTTGCATTTTTGCAAGTGCCAGTGGTTCAGCAGTTGTTTAGGAAAACAGGCGGTTTAATGTTAAAATGTTCTTAGTACACTGATGATTTGATGATTCGCCTCCCATATTTCTTATATATGACTGTCGTTGTTTTTATTCAGTGGAAGTGTCATACGCAAAGAGTAAAGTACAATAAACAAGTTCATTTATTTAAATTGTTATTTCCTCTGCAGGGTGTTGCTGTTGAGATGCAAACTTGGAGTGCTGCAGTACACAGTTGTTAGACCTGTCACAACAGTCATTGCCTTGTAAGTAGACTCTGCTCTAAGTGAACTACATGTTTTTATTCTATTCTCTCACTCCTTGATACCATCCTATGCTCTTTATTCACTGTCTGTTTTTGATGTCTCTAATGACTTTGTTTCTTCCCTCTCCTAGGATCTGTGAGCTGTGTGACGTGTATGATGAAGGCAATTTTAGTTCCACAAATGCATGGACATACCTGGTCATCTTCAACAACATGTCACAGCTGGTAAAAACAAAAAAAATATTTTTATTTTTAAAGAAATACACCTTAGTGTAATTTGCCTTCCTGAAAAACTATTGTGTATTGGGTCCTGGGAGCATGATGACATGTCTCTGTTTTTTTCTCCTGCTCTCTATCTAGTTTGCCATGTATTGCCTGGTGCTGTTCTACAGAGCTCTCAGAGAGGAACTGAGTCCAATCAAACCAGTGGGCAAATTCCTATGTGTCAAAATGGTGGTGTTCGTCTCTTTCTGGTAATTTAGAGTGTGTTTGTACTTAAAAAGAAATGTCTGACAGTTGCTTTGCAAGAGTTGTTTCGTGTTGTTTGCTTGTATGTATCCTGAGACTTTTTCCTCCTGTAAAATCTTCTAGGCAAGCTGCGTTTATTGCTTTGTTGGTGAAAGTGGGCATCATCTCAGAGAAGCATACATGGGAATGGCAGAGTGTGGAGGCTGTTGCCACTGGCTTACAGGTAAACAATAACGCAGGTTGAAGAATAACAACTGCATGTGCTTATTTAATACAGTTAAAATACCTAAACATAGGGCTTTCTACTGGTTAAAATTCTTGTTGTATCTGATACAACTTGAGTGTTTTCAAACACGAAACGGTCCTATTTCCAGGACTTTGTCATCTGTGTGGAGATGTTCCTGGCAGCCATTGCTCATCACTTCAGCTTCACCTACAAGCCTTACATCCAGGAGGCCGAGGAGGGTTCTTGCTTTGACTCTTTCATGGCAATGTGGGACATCTCGGATGTCAGAGCAGACATTTCTGAACAAGTCCGCAATGTTGGTAGGTGCCCTCTGGAGTACTTGCATTTTGTTTTTAGTTTTTTTGACCGAAAGTATCTGTTGAATGTTCTCAAACACAAGATTTTAATTTTTCTCACTGACAGGAAGAACAGTCATGGGCCGTCCCAGGAAATCCTACTTTGGTGAGGCAGAGAGTGACGGAGAGAGATCTGGCCTGCTCTCTCCGGGCTCCCAAGATGTCATAACAGAGGCGGCATCCAACCCTGTTTCTCCCAATGGTCAGTACCAGGGCCTGGGCAGGACCCTGGCACCGCACTCTTTGTCAGCTCCTGCTGGACTCGGCTCGGCCTTGTGGGATGAAGGATACGAGGCTCAACCTGAAGAGACCCCTGAAGAAGAAAAGACCGACCAAACCAAAGAACCAGCAGAGGCAGATCTCATTGTGATTACCTAGGCAAGCATTCAGGCTAATGTCCCCTACAGACTCTAGCAGATGTGTTTGGGCAGGACGCAAATACAGCCTCGCTGTTTTCTGTCACACGTCACTGTACTGATTAACCTCCAAACAAAATGGAGCATCAACCAAGAAAAAGTAGAAGACTTCCTACAATGTAAAGAACCAGAAGGACCTCTCTGCCAGTGACAGCTGTATGAATGTTCAGTGAAGTTATGGCACTAACTGACTGGTAGATAAAGTGCATTTGATGCCGTTGGTGTCGTACTGGAGAGTTCCATCGCTTCCTATGATCTGCCAGGATTTAATTTCATTTAAATAGTAAAGACTTTTAGACATTGCCTTGGTCACGTTAGTCATATCACAACGTCAGGTACGCTCTGAAGAGAAATATGCAACTTTTAAAAATCATTTTTTCTTAATATTATTTTTGGTTTTAAGTGATATCAGAGGATATTGATGAAATAAGTCAATGGAAATGTACAATTAAAAGCACATCAGAGCCTGGATGTAAGCCTGATTTTAAGTGTGTAAAAAAATCCCAGAGGATTGTATAAAAAGAGCCGAAGCTACAAATCTTTAAATTGCACAATTGGGACTTGGGATAAGTAGGTTGGAGCTTTGCACATAGGAAGATGTGTCTTAAAGTCTGACATCACGAGAGAATCATCATTTTATGGGTTGGTAATGCTCACAGTATCAGACCATTAGGTAATTCAAACGGAACAATTAGCACAATCTAGTGAATTCCTGTTTTTGTGCTTCACTGCTTACAGCTCACTATCATTCTTTGAGATGTATCCACTAGTCTTCTCAAATGCCTTCTATGTGCAGTACAACTTCTCTATCCACTGCATCAGCATTAATACTCTCTCATGGCACCTAAGCCATTTCTAACTGTTTTTCAAGCTCTTTCATCATCTAGACTTCCATCCTTTGTGCAGGAAAACCCACGTTTAATGTGCACTGTAGGGCATCAGTTTGTGTCACAAAATCAAATATATTAAATCAGCAGCATCACCCTGCATAATGTCCAGCTAGAGAATGTTGCATTGCCTTATATGATTAGATATTTTTTCGGAGCTGACAGGATCACATAAGAGCTGATGTAAATGTTCCACATTTTAGTTAAACTACATCTCTGACAGGCTTCTCAATAAACTACATTTTTCAACAACTACACTTTCTTCTTCTTGAATGTAATGGGAAAATGTCACACGCTTATTGTTTGAATAGTTTTTTTTTATTCTAACAAACATCTTTACAAAAGCAAGTGTGCCAATACTGATTTCACTGTAATGTCCGTACTATATATACACCCATATGATATACTTATGAGTACACATTTGAAAAGTACTGGGATATTTTTCACAATTTTAAAGCTTGGAATTTAAAATTTGTGATTGTGATAACACTGCACAGGTTCTTTAAAAGGTGTGGTTTTTAACAGGGTTCAACTTACTGTAACTACTAATTAGAGATCCAATTTATAAAAATGTGTTATCACATTAAAAATGACCCTGTAGAAGGTCAATCTTTTAGGGAATGCTTTGTATTCAAGTATGTCCCTGTGTGTCAATAGCCTTTATGCCACTGAGACACAAAGAAAGAAAATACTGTTGTAGACTACTGTACAAGTTTATTGCTTGATCAGGGGGTATTCTCTATACGGGCTGATATGGAGATGGTGCTCTTGTGTAGCTTCACAGCGAGGCAGACCCAGTCCCCGGCTTGCACCTCCAGCGGCTGCTGCAGCACTGCGGCCGCCTGCTTCCAGTGAGAGTTGTTGCTGAGGGTGCTGACACTGATCTCCTGGTCGAGGTAGATGTTGTACCAGAAGGGAACTGCAGTTACTCTTCCAGTAGCCGTGACCTGGACCTGGGGGAAAAAAAGGGACCAAGACTTAAGCTGCTTAATGTTACAAAAGAATGATCTGCTATGAACAGACTTTTCTCTGAGCCAGTTTCGTGTTACTCACGAGTCTGGTTTTGCTGCTGTTAACTTTAAAATAATAACACATGCAATACAATAAACAAAGCCCAGAACGGCAAGCTATTTTCAGTGTTTCATTTAATATTTATGAACTCTGCGGACATGACTTCAAAGGAATAAGTTCACATTGCACCTCAAAAAATGAATAAGCAAACCTTTTTAATGTTCCTCAACTAAACTTTTACCAGCTGAAAACAAAAACAAACCCCTGGAATCTGAAACTGTGGATTAAGCCTATTTTATATATACAGTGTAAGAAGGTAGAGCAAAGTTACACGTTTGACGTGTCTTTAAATGAGTGTGACTTATTACTATGTTTTTTTGGGTTGAAATTGGGTTGAAAAAAAAAAGACAGCTCAAGATTTTGATATTTTTGGGCCATTTCCAGCTCAAGTCTTAAATAATGTTTCAGCAGTTCAAAATGATAGGACCCGACTGATATGGGCTTTTGGAGCCGATACCGATACATCAGCCGATATCTTTCTATGATCTAGCTTAGATCTGTAGCGATAAATAGATTTTTTGCGTTGATCCATCAAATGCAGTTATCAAACACTTGTGGAAAAAGAAATAAAGAAAAGATGGTCACTCAGCTGGAAAGTAACCGCGTATTTATGCGCATTACTGCTAGACACTCTGGGGCGTGACAATGCTTGTTGTAATCAATACAGCACACTCAAATGCAGGAAATACAAATGCTAGTGTAATGAAATGAAACTCAAATGAAATGCTATTTGACTGTTGGGTCAATCTAGTAATATCGGCGCACATCCTGCGATAAAATTAGCCGATACCAACAGTCACTAGATATGCTAAGATCGGCTGATATGGGCTGGGCGATAAATCGGTCGGGCTTTTCAATATTGTGCTACAATAGCGACCTGGAAAGAGGTGACATTTTGGAAGACAGTTTAACTATGATACATCCAATCATGTTTGGGGGAAATCATGTAGCTTTAACGTTATGTCTTACCTTTACTTCTCTGTTGGTGTAGTTTGCATGGGCATCCATGAGGTTGAGAACAAATAGCTCCACAGACTCACTGAGATGCCTGCCCTCCAGTGTGGAAAAGTCCAAAAAGACATGGACAGGTACTGAAAGACACAAGAGATTAACATCATTTTAGTGAATTGTTTGTAGTGAAAAAACTCTGTCAAAAGTATAGTAAATGCTATGAAAAGCCTAGAAGACCAAAGAGGAAAAGCTAGTTGGGTCTGTCAGTGAAAATGAACACAAAAGAGGTCTCCTGATGCATAAGTTGGCAACCATTGTCCTCAACTAGGGAAGGAAAATCCCCCAAACAAATGAAAGCACAATGCTTATCTAAGTGTACACTTACAAATTTTTTACTGTAGCAACATCATTTTCACAAAAGGCTTTACAAAAAGAGCTTAAAGATTTGTGCAGACTTTAAAATTATGCAAAAGCAGACTATGAGATGTTGCCGGCTTTCTTCACACAAACCCCTTTTCATCCACATTAGGTTTGAATTTGTAGAGTCCCTGATTGTTTGGAAACTAATCTACCTCTCAAACTCTTCCAGACATGACAAACAGGCCGCAGCTAAAGCTAAAGGAGAATCAAAGTCGCAGAACCAAAAAAAAGTGTCACAGTTTCTTTTAGTGCAGAACAAAAGATTCTTTCTCCTCCGTCACACTTCTTCTAGACCTCAGAGCCCACTGTTTGATGTGCTTGATGTAATGTGTACTGATGGATTCAGGTAGGAATGTGGTGGGCCAGGCTGTGTGTTGTGTGACAGTTGTGCTAGAAAGTGCCCTCCGCTGAGACAACATCTGTTAAAACAAACGACCCACGTCCCATGGGGCCCTGCAGAATTAGAGCACAAACACGATGCTGGAGAAAAAAAAAAAGAAGGAGAAATAATTTCCAGACCAAATAAAGAAAAAAGAATTCAAAGGGATTTTACTGCGACTTAAATTGAACAGGGAAGCACATCAAAAGAGGCGTGCACAAAAGGAAGCACAGTCCTGGACCTTAGTATTCCAGGAGAAATACTTTGTTGAACAAAAGACAACCTGTAAAGAGAAGGAAACCAAACAACTGGATGAACAGTGGAATGGATGGACTGATGAAATAAGACAAGTTAAATCTGTTCGGAGATTTTTTTTTGTTTGTACTTTTATAGCATTGCACTATGTGTCAATCACATTTAACACCGCAGGCAACTTATTGCAACTAATGTGCGAACTTTGAATGTGAATGATGCAAGCTTACAAACACAGAATGCTGCATGTGAAATATGCCAATATTGACGGTTGCATCAGGAATGAGACGGAATATGAGATCCTCGTGGCTGAGACGTACAAAAGGAAGATTTTGCAACTAGAGTCGAGAAGAC